AAAGGTCCATCTAGTCAAAGCTAAGGTTTTTCCAGTAGTCATGTATGGATGTGAAAGTTGGACCATAAAGAAAGCTGAGTGCCGAAGAATTGATGCTTCTCCAACACTCTGGTGTAGTATTTTCTTTTTCCCTTTTCACTATTAGTGCTAATAGCTGTTTGTTTGTTAACAAACAACACTCTGGTGTTGGAGAAGACTCTTGAGAGTCCCTTGGGCTGCAAGGAGATCCAACCAGTCCATCCAAAAGGAAATCAGTCCTGAATATTCATTGGAAGGACTGATGCTGAAGCTGAAGCTCCAATACTTGGCCACCTGATGCGAAGGGCTGACTCATTGGAAAAGATCCTAATGCTGGGAAAGATTGAAGGCGGGAGGAGAGGGGACAACAGAGGATGACATGGTTGGATGGCATCACTGACTGGATGGACATGAGTTTGAGTAAGCTCCAGGAGCTGGTGGACAGGGAAGCCTGGTGTGCTGCAGTCCATGGGGTTGCATAGAGTTGGACACAACTTGACAACTGAACTGAACTGAATTGATTCATACCATAACATGGATAAATTGCAAAATAATTATGCTAAATGAAAGATGCCAGGCCAAAAAAAAAATATTACTTTATGATCCCATTTATATAATACTAGAAAATGGAAAAACAAATCTTTAGAAAAGAAAACAGATCAGTGATTGCCTAAGAATCAAATTGAAGGGAGGTACAGATTTTAGAAAGGCACAAGAAAACTGGTTTAGTTTTCCTTTAAGGAAAAGAAAAAGTGTAACAACATAGCAACAATATTTAAGCTTATATAGGAATGTAATAATATGAATGCAGAGGAATTTATTAAAATAATAAATGTGATTTGGCTAAGCCTACTTTTAAAAAATGATAAATATCTGGATTGAAAAAGAAATTGAACAAATCTGATGCTTTCAAGGAGCATCTTAAGCACCAAAATACACAGAAGAGTTTTTTTAAAAAAAACAGAAAATTGTATTGTTTCAGAGGTTTCCAGTACTAAGAAGTAAAAAGAAACATCAACTGTGTTCCTACTTTAGATAAAAAGAAATAAATAACTAGCAAGCCAAGATAAAGTAAGAAAAGGGAAATAATAAAACTAAGAGTAAATATATACTGAGAAGAAAAAATAAAATTAATTAACGCCAATAGTTGATTCTGCAAAAAAAATTTTTTTAACAAAACAGCTATTAGCACTAATAGTGAAAAGGGAAAAAGAAAATACTACTTAGTAGATTTACTGATGCATAATAGATATTTGTTGAAGAACATGTTATTGAAAATAGAGAAAACTATGAGTTCAAAAACACAACTATAATTTAGATGTATAATATACATAAAGTAAACATGGCAAAATATTAAAAATTGTTGATTCTCCAAGTCAATGTTTCTAAAATATTTAAAATTTTTACTTTAAAGTATTGAAGAAAAATTAGGGAAATATAATTTTCTTCTATTTCAACAAATTTTATTACTACCTAGGAGACAGCTATAAAAATCCTAAAAACATGAAAACTGATAAAACAAAGGCAAAAAAATACATAATATAGTAAGATCAATGATATAAAATGTAAAAATTATAAAATTCTAAAGAAAACTTAGTAATTCAAACTTCAAACAAATTTGTCTTTGGGATCCCAAGTGCTTACCACCGGATGGTAAAGTAAAATTAGGCATGCCCAGTATGCTTTCAAGAGGAAAAGGGATTTACCCACACCTTAGAAGAAAATATTTTATGTAAGTCACCATCTTTAATTTCTTCACATATTATCTTTAAAGAAAACTATTATTAATAAAAGTTTACTATCCAAATTTTCAAACAATAATCTTAAAGGTATAAGATTATTGCATAATACTTGATTTATAGTTAGCATCAACAAACTATTTACACATGCAGACTTGCAGATATCAAATTACCAAAATGAAAAATGCACAGCCTTGCTAGGCTTCTTTGATATGAAAATGGACATTCTGGGGCACAACTGTGCAACAATTAAAACTTAAATAAATTAAGGCTCAAAATTAGAAGCACTGGTTGGTGGCAGTTGGGGTTGGAGGGCAGGGAGAGTAATACATAATTTGCAGCAGCGCAATTTTTATTTGATTGTGCAGAAAATCTACCTAGCAATGGGCTGTTAAAGAATTAATGTCTTTAAATTGGTAATTCCACTTAGGGGACTATATAAAAAATAGTTTAAACCCATATGTTCAAAGTATCGCTACTACCTTGGAGAAATCATTTAACTGGTCTTGATTCTGTTGCTCTAACTATGCGTGATGGCTTGGCTAAAGCCCATGGTTGTCACATCCAGTGTGCAAGTAATCCACCTGACCAAGGTTGGTCCAATCTCTCATCAAAGAATAAGATGTTTAGCAGAGGTGGAGAAATTTTCCTTTCCTCCTTACTTACTGTTCATTATTTCAAGTAAGATATGCCTGGATTTAAAAAAAAAAAACTTTTTTTTTTGAACCAAGGTTAAAAATAACAAAAAACATCACTGCCTGGTGATACCTAGCTGGTGATTGGCTGAGGCTGCCACATTACCCTAGTTCCCGCCATGTATCCTCAGCACAGAGAACCCTCGATCTCTGCAGTTAAACTCTTGAATCTAGCTGATCTGTTGGAACAGGAGAATCAAATACTACTTGAAAAATATTTATTGAGGGCTTTCTAAGTGTCAAGACACCTCACTGAAACAAAAGTTTTCCTGGAGTTAATCTAAACAAATCATTGTGAGGAAACCATTGAGTATGCAAAACATTCTGGAAAAGGCAAAGTAGATACAGAGGGATATGCTTATTAAAATGCAGATTTCTGTGCTCCACATGCCTCACCAACTGAACCAAAATTGCTTTGATGTGGCTGAGAAGTTGGTCCAGAAGGATTCTCATGCAGGCAGTTTGGGGGGTTACCCTTAGAATAAAATGTGGACTTAAAGGAGTTTTAAGATCATTCTTGCTCCCGAATTTTGAGTCTGTAATTTTGTTTTTAATAATTTAAAGTGGACATAATTTAAAATATTCTAAGTAATGAAAAGTGGGAAATGAGTAAGGCAGATTAGTGTACAATGGAGTAGCAGAAAGGTCCACTTGACAAATTTCTTTTGGAGACTTTGGTTTTCTTGATTAGATAACAAGAGCCTTGATAACCATAGTTTCCTCTTTTCTGTGACTTCCATTGTGTACTCAATTTAAGCAGCTTTTCTTGGTTAGTTATTCCGGTATAGCACTGTTGGAAATGCATACCCCAATGCTCCAGGACACAGACACAACTTGGCTCTGTTTTTGTTTTTTTTTCCTTATGATTTTGGTTTTGTTACATTTTATTGTGGTCCTCCTGGCACAATGTGGAGGGAAGTAATGATAAAAACCACATTCCCTAAACCTGTCGGTTAATTCCTTGCATGTCTTAGATCTATGTCTTCTGCTAATGACTTAACTCCTTCTCCACTGTCACTGTATCAGTGATTCTCTTTTCTGCCACTAGCCACATTTTCAGCTTCAAATACATTTTGTACTCCAGCCAGAATCCAATCTTCATGCCTTGGGTAGTAAAGAATTGACCTTACCCACAAGAGAGGTCTGGTTTTTGCCCTGAGCTGCTGGGAGGTGATCTCTAAGCCGGTGGAATGTCCTGCCTAATAAGAGTGTCTTTGCTTACCTGGGGGCCTTGGACCACACTGATAGTCTAATGGAAAGATTTTGGGTAAGAGCTTCTGGCCATGCATCATCAGCTTGGCTTCCAGAGGGACTGGAGACTAGAAGTTAGTCATGGAAGTGGTCCAACACATCGCCATGACTGAGCCCAAATAAAATCACTGCACCAAGGCTCAGGCGGGCTTCCCTGGTTGGCAGCGCTCCATCTGTGTTGTCACACATCATCACTTGGAGAAGTTGGTGTTATCCAGGACTCCACTAGGAGAGGACAACTGAAAATCCCACACGTGGAATTCTCCTGGACTTTGCCCCATGCCCTTCCTTCACTGTCTGAAGATAATCTGTATCCTTTTCCTGTAATAAACCATAACCATAAGTTGAACAGCATCGAGTGAGTTGTGTAAGTCCTTTTAGTGAATTGTTGGGCCTTGAAGTGGTCTACGTGCTGTGTGCATGCATGCTAAGTCGTTTCAGTTGTGTCCAACTCTGTGCGATCCCATGGACTGTAGGCAGACAGGTTCCTCTGTCCATGGGATTCTCCAGGCAAGAATACTGGAGTGGGTTGTGATTTCTTCCTCCAGGGGATGTTCCCAACCCAGGGATCAAACCTATACGAGCACTACTTTACAGTGTGCTGGTACGAGTTAGAGGTAACTGTGGCCCTACAGCCCCACTCAGCAATGGTGGTGGGGGACAGTTAAGAGAGGAACTCTTTACAGGGAGAATAAATCTGAGCAGTATTTCTTATCTGCTCTTCACAGATGGTAAAGATATCCCAAGGTGCAGATCTGCCCCCATTTTATGACTCATAGGTGGCCAGGTGGTAGACATGAAAGTAACAAGTTTAGAGGATGAATGATAATAATTAGGCACTAAAATTATGGTCAGACTTGTCCCAGTGGGCTCAGATTGTAGGAATAGTTCTTTCCTACATAAATACTCAATGAAGGCCCCATTTGAAGGAGATGCTAAGTAATCAGATGGTCAAGATAATTCTGAGGATGTCCATAGCTCTTTCTTTCATATCCCGGTTCTTGTTTTATCAGCTTATGAACAAAGTGGCTATACTGGAAGCATGAAGGCTATATATATGGACCTTAACAATATGGCCCTCCTTTCATCAAGGCTATCCTGATTACTGCCACTACTAAGAGTCCAATCTGCCGGGAGCAGTGACAAACCCTAGAATTTGATCCCCTAGGTTGATCACGTAACTTCAAAAGAAATCTCTGAGAGCTTCTGTAGAACCCTAAAAAGTCATTAAAGACATGTCAATATGCTATATTCACAGTACTGACTTACAGTCTTTGAATGGGGAGAGGTAAACAGACCTGAAACCATCAGTGTCAATATGGCTTAGTTAAGACTATAGCCCATCTAGTCAATATGAGTTAATTGTTTATTCCAATAAACCTTTGCCCAGGAAAGGTGATAAACAAAACAAACCAAAAGACAGAAACAATCTAATTTTTTGTTTACATAAGTAAGTTCCTATGGGATGGAGATAATGATCTGCCTATGTGGTAAAGAGCTGGGGTATCAAACAACAGTTTTACTTATGAAGACTCATCAAGGCCCTTGTTTGCTGTGTCCACCAATCCTAAACCATTTCATTAACTTTACCAAATCCAATCAATTCCCTGTTTTGACAGATATGCCTTAAACCATTTGTGCACAGGTCCCAAAGCAATCAAATGACTTTGGGAAATAAAATATATCACTACATTTTCCTGTTGCTTTCCTAGTCGACTAATTTTAGCTAACTTCTAGTGAGTTACTATAACAAAATATTTCAGAGGTATGCCTATTCTCTCTGAAGTATGTTCACTCAGGAAAAAAATCTGCAAAAGTCAACAGAAATTATGTTGCTCTCATTTTTTCATGTATTTATATTTTATCATGTTAAAGTAGCTACTCAATTAGGGCTTACTTGCTTAGACTTCACTTTTGAGTACCTGAGTTTTAATTTAATCAAAGACTACACCTGATAACTTTTCACGGCAAAGCTAAAGTGTTAATAGTAAGCGTGCAAAGTGCTTGTTTACATGGGTTTGGGCTTCAGGAACAGAGAGGGAGAATTTCATGACCCTTTGGCTTTTTAGGATGGCATGTTGCTAAGTTGCTTCAGTCGTATTCATCTCTTTGTGACCCACAGGTTGTAGGCCACCAGGCTCCTCTGTCCATGGGGATCCCAAAACTCAACAAATGGCTAATTTTCTGGTTCTGAGACACAGGTAAGCTTATGAAGGTGGTGGGCATGTTGTCTTACTGCAATAAGTTTTAGTACTTAATTTTGTTTTATTAGGTCATCGGATGATAGAGTTCAACAATAACAAAATTTGTTTTTGTTTTTAAGGATGTCTCATTTAATTGGCATGTACTATACAAAAGAATCATTTCTCTATGTCAAGCCAATTTACTTTTCACTAACAGGTCTACATTAATGATGTTAATCAATGTTAACTGGCTTTATCTTAGGGGAAGCCTCATCTAGAACACAAGATCTGTTCAAGAAATTTGTCCTTTCTGAAACAACCTAAGTGTCCATCAACAGATGAATGGATAAAGAAAATGAGGTATATACTATACACACACACATGTGTACATAGGAATATTATCCAGTCATAGAAAAGCTGAAGAACTTGTCATTTGTGATAACATGGTTGGATATTAGGGGCATTATATTAAGTGAAGTAAGTCAGAGGCAGGGGTGGAGAGGTGGTAAAATACATGAAGAGAGTCAAAAGGTATAAGCTTGCAGTTATAAAAGTCATGAGGATGTAATGTACAGGATGATCACCATAGTTAATACTGCACTGCTTATTTGAAAATTGCTAAGAGAGTAAATCTTAAAAGTTCTCATCATGAAAGAAAAAACCATGTATTGTGATGAATATTAACTACAGTTACCTTTGGTGATCATTTTGCAGTATATACAAATATTGAACCATTATGTTGTATACCTGAAACTAATTTAACATTATGTGTAAACTACACCTCAATTTAATAATTAACTTTTTAAAATATTTGTTTTTCCTAACTATAGACTACTACCAGAAAGATAATCAATTCACTGCTGTTAGCTACTAGACCAAATGTTAAGGTTACGTAAGAATCAGCTGAGGAACTTGGTACAAATAAAGGTTTCCATGCTTCACTCCATGATTCTGATTTAGAGGGTTCAGCACAAGGTCTCAGAATCTCTATTTTTAAAAGCACCATTTTTTCCCTGATGCAGGCCACCATGAGATCATACTTAGAGAAATAAGTATTTTCTCCCCACATACCAGCAAACACACATGTGCTGTAATATGTATGTGTATGTATATATAAACACATATATATCCATATTAAATGTTCTACACAAGTCTTATAAAAATGAAATTGTCCTATGACATTTTTTTTTCAGGGAACATTATAATTAATCTTTCTGAATCATCACCTACAAACCTGAATTTTTTTCACAACTACATCATTTTCCACTATAGCTATGTATGCACCATAATTTATCCAGCCCTCTATTAATGGTTATTTATACTGCTGCTTTTTTTTTTTTTTTGTATTACAAGCAATGCTGCAACGACTATCTTTACACATTTATACTAAAATTTCCAAAAAATATAGAGAGTGGAATAAACACATCAGAGTAGGGTGCTAGCTCAGAAGATGTATGCACTTTAAAGTTTGATAGATCCTGCTGAGTTGCTCATTAATTTAGTTGTACCAATTTAAGTCCTGCCAATGGACTTAAATTTCCCATCACCTATACCAATACTAGTTCCAATATTTTAAATCCTTATCCGACAGGTAAAAAAAAAAACAAATCTTAATTTATATTTTACCATGTTTTTAATATCTGACTGACTAGCATTCAGTTTACCACTGAATGGAACACAATTTAAAGTTCTACAAAAATTATAATTTATTTTTAGAAAACTTTTATTTTCACCTTAAAACTGTCACTTATGGAATGAATGAATATCAAATATATAATACAGTATCACTTAGTATCTTCTTTTACCAGGTGATAGAAAAATGAGAGTTACAAGACCTAGCTTTCCACCCAGCAGCCCTGTGACTTTGGGCAAGTCTTCTGCCCTTTTGAGAGCTTCCGTTTCCTTTTTTTAAAATGGGATTCTAATCATTTTATAGGACTGTTTTGAAGATTAAATGAGATCACAATTTTAATTACAAATAATAGCTATTACTACTACCACAGTAACAATACAAGGGAAATTACCAAGTGACTAGAATTATCTGTCAAAGCCTTTCTTAATAATTATGCTGGTATCACAGATTCTATGAAGTGAGTCAACTATTTATGGGGATTGTTAAAAGTCACTAGAGGAGTTTCTCTTCCATAGGGCTAACATGTGATTTACAAAAATCACTTCTCTTGTTCTCTGTGAATGCTCCTCTAATAGTAGTTTAGGAAATATTTCCAAAATTACTCAGTTCCTTAGATGAAGTGGAATTATCCAAATATATAATCAATTATACAACAGGATTTTTTTTTTCAAGTTTCTAAGAGGGTTTTGTTTCTAAGCACACACAGTAATCCTCTTCAAGGTAATGTCATGGAGATTTACTAGAGTCAGTAAATGGAATTTTACAATTTTACTGTAATATAATACACTGGAGAACTTATCCTTGATTCTTTCCCAACACTAATGTCAACCTAACTCACACCTTCATTAAGTGTTATCAATATCTACAATGCACAAAGTCCTATCCAAGGGGCATATAATCTCAGCATTCAAGAGATAAAGACTCATACAACAGATAAAAGGGCAAAGCATTGTTATCTAAAGTTGCCTGTACTCTTGGTATGACAAATGTCAGTGGTGCATGACTCATGGAGCTCATCTTCTTTTTGATGAATACTAATGAATTTGTCACACATCTTATCCATAGGTCGTGTAAAACATAAAGCCAAGAATGAAACGTCGTTGTCCTATGGCTTACTCCCAAAAGCTCTCAATGACTCAACTCACCTAAGTCTTCCTTCTTTAATTTCTTCCTCCACATCATGACTTTTGCAAAATTTTATGATGGTTTTTTAATGAGTAAAGTGATCTGGAAAAAATATTTTTTCTGTTTTTATTTCAATAAAACAAGAGGCAGCACTGTTGTAAAAAGTATTATATATGGAGAACAATTACACAAATATACAAAACATCAAAAAACTAAACTCCAGTTTATTTCCATGGCCTTAAAAAGGTAGGGAGCACATAAAAATATCCAAAGTCATAATTTATTCTTTAGGAATGTAAACTCTAGGAATACAATTAGAAACAAGTATATTTACTATGAAAAGATTAGTATCACTATGTAATTAGAAGTAAAGATTAGAGGTACACAATAACAGTATGTGAAACAAGATCTTGAGTTTACTATTAGAAACTTTATATCAAGACATTAATACTCTAGAACTCTACTATTAAAAAATACAAAAGCATCTTCTAAAATGTTCACTGCTAGTCTCTTTAGATATGCACAAGTTACAAAATACAGAAGACAACATACTTATATTCTCTGATGAAGAATTTATCAATATTAAATATAAATGTGAATAACTCAAAGCATTATATATAATTTTACAAAGCAATTAATCTAAAAGTATAAATTCATGCTAATCAAAGGACTAGAGAGTTAATTTTTTTATCCAAAGATTGGGAAAACACTATTAATACACTCATTTTTATCTACAATGCTTAAGTACGCATCAAATTATTCTTTTTAAATGGCTTTTCAAAACATTTTTTTTCAGTTACATTATTTAACATACATATTTTCTTGATGTGTTTCCCTTTAATAAAGTGTAGACTTACAGTGCCTATAGACTCAAATGTTAAATAGCCTTATTTTAAATATTTGCTGAAAATTAAGTTTGAGTGTATTTTTCCTTATAATTTAAATGTAAAGGTTTCACCACTTTAATTTTATTCTTCCAAATAGGCAAAATCCTCTAAAAATGGGATTATTTTTATCTATTTAGGTTTAAAATTTTTATTTCCCTTTATTTCAACTCTTTTGTCTTTAAATGAATAATTTTTGCTAAGCAGTTACTTCATAATTGAAGAGAACAATGAAATATCGCTTTTTCAAAACCACTGAAATCATTTAAGGACTGAGAATTTCTACTCTTCAAATCTACAGAGTTGCCTTTAAAAGCTCCATGGTGGTATAACAAGGGACTCCAGGGTGCTCACCTGCCCTAGGACACTCCCCTTAAGTCTTTGTTTCTCTCTCCACTTGGATTCCAAAAGGCAAAATCTGGCATCCAGCTTCACTAGAATATCCTAGGTAGTTGGGTATTTGAAGAGTGAGAGGTTGGGTAATTCCAAGAATCTTTCAGAGGTTTAAAATGTGGAATGGGACTACAGGGTCTACTCAGATCCTCTGAGCTATGGGGTACAAGGCCCCAGTTTTGTGCAGAATCCTTCTTGCAATAAAAGATATTACTCTGAATATATAGAGGTCTGTGACCAAATGGTCACATCAGCATCTTCAGAAGAAAATGATCTACAAAAGCCACCCCAACTTTCAAATTTGGAAAAATAAGTGGGACAAGAATAGTAGAGACAATTACAATTGTTACAATACGTTAGCATTACCCAGTATTTATAATTGCTATAAAAATTTTCAAATGTATAATCCTTATTTGAAATAGCATCAAAGATACTAGAAAAGAATTTTCTTGTTTACACAACTCCACATAATTCCACGTTCCAGAAAACCAACTGGTGCAAATTACCTGGAGCAGAAATTCAGAACCATTCCTTTGGGTAACCCTTCAGGTTTTAAAAGAATAAGCACATGCAGGTTTGCTGTGCGCTGTATAAAGGGTGGTGCCCCTCATACTTGAAACTGTAGAGCTCTGATTCCATTTTTAGTTATCAGAAAAATACAAAATATTAACCATTTTTATTGTAAGAACAAATGAGATTAATTAAAGATTTAGAATTAGGGGACTTAAGTGAGTTTACACTGTAAAAAATTAATTAGCTGTTAAAAACAATGAAGATTATAGTATCCAACATATTTGATCTAGGGTTGTGAGACCACTGAGAATTCTAAATATTAGGTAAGTGATTTGTTTGCACTTTGATACTGTCTTAAACTTTAACGTGCATAATAATCACTTGAGATCTTATTAAAAGACAGGCTATGATTCAGTAGATCTAAGGTGGCTCTGAAATTCTGCCAGGTGATGCCAATGCTCCTTACTGCTCCTCAGACCACAGTGATCTAGAATAATACCAAAATGAGGTTCCATCACAACAGCTGAACATTAAAACCTGATCTCTTATGTATGCTGGCTAATGTGTCCTCAAACTAATGTTTCCCAAAAACCATCTACAACATTTCCTAAGCACCTTAACTTGCTTCCAATGCCAATCTTTTAAATTAGTTCTTAAGACTCTTAAAGACTATTAAGATTGTTAGCAGCTATGCCTAGGAAAAATTCTTTGTTAAAGAATTACAAAAAGACAATAGGAAATTCACAGTGACTGTACACAGGATTTAAATTGAACACAGGATTCTTAGTACATTAATACTTTGTCAACTTTCACTGTCCAGTTGACTTGCCCTTTTTTTTTTAAACTATAATGTATGCCAATAGATCTTATTTCATTTCTACCACTGGAACTAAAAATATCAAGTTCACTTATGTTAAAACCCATATTTTATTCAGGATTACTCAATGAAAACTAGTTAATGATTTTTTAAAAATTAGATTTAAAACAACAGCCAAAGTAGTTACAGTCAAAACTGCATTCATAATGTAAATTCTTTAGCAGTCTTCAAGACATACAACTTTTTCACAAATTTGAGCACTGCATAAACAGGTACAAGATGAAAACTAGCATTTTCTCTGTGTGGCCACAGCTAAGGACTCTGAATAAGGAAAACACTGTGTACTAACCACTGAAAAGGGGACAGCTCCCTAGGCCTTCCTCCCCAGTCAACTTACTCTGTCATTCTCAACCCTGATTTTTTCTCCCTCACCCTAGATTATTACTAAGCACTTGCTTTAAAAGGAACCTCACCATAGCTGAAATTATCACCACTAGCAAATACCAAATTTTTATATCCATTTGGAGGTCACATGATCCTCTATAGCTACATACATGTTTGTTCAGCTTCTGTTAAATTAGCTTTCTATTTTTATTTTTTTTGGCTGGGGGCAACTCCACTGATTATTCTTCATATCTTAACAAGAACATTTAAAATAGGCCTGTTCACAAAACAAGAAACACATTCAATACTTTTCATATTTAAAAATTTAAAAACACAAACATAAATAACCTAAATTAGTTAATATATAAATGTCTTTTGTCCATATTTCACTATTTTTATTTTCTTTCAATGATATTTAATAGATGAAAAATTTACCTAATTTCCTTCATTTGTAGACAAACCATTCAACATGGTGAACACTGGTATCTTTAGAGCTGAGGTACAAAATTTACAGTGAAGTCTTCAATGATGTGTGCTTTGAATTATGGGAATCCAAACTAAGCAGTATTTCCGAAGTCCAGCAGCAGGGTAAGCCAGCTTTATGGCCTATTACATCTTAGGAACTGAAAAGGATTTTCACCTGCTAAATCCAGATCAAACACTTCAAAACACATCTACTTGCAACCTGACTTTTGATATAAAATGTTCCAAATAAATGACGGCAACCCCTCTTCCCATTCCCTGGAATCATATAATATTTTAGGGTATTGAGTTATGAGGCATTTTCCAGTGCTTTATATAAACTGTTCTACTAATCTTCAAGATGATCTGGCTACAAACATTTTTATCAGGCACTTTTCATACGTATCATTTTTGTTTTCTCACATGCCTGTTTTTCAGAGTGCCAGCTGTAGAATTCCTGGAGTTGTACCTAGACTCATCCTTGAAAAAACGGTTTCCATACATGGATTCCCTTTACATTGAAGGCCAAACATATATAGCTACCAAAATAGGAGTTATTAAAGAAAAAGATTCACAACCTTACAGGAGATGTAACCAATCTGATCACACAACCTGTCAAAATGTACTATCACAATGTCAATCTTAGGGCAACATAAACAAGATTAAAAAAAAAAAAAGACTCAAGCCAAGGGGAAAAAATACAACCCAAGAAATAGCAAAACCATATTTCAACTTACTACAACCTAGACATTATTCCTTTCATAAAGTCAAGGTAGCCATCAGAATTTAAGACATCAGGGCTCCCATCAGGAGCAGGGATGAAAGATGACCCTGGGAACTTGCATGAAGAAGCCAAGTTGTATTTCCAGATTAACTGCTTATGTGAGGAAACCCTTACAAATTAATCTGTGGACAAAGTAATGCTAATACTAGGAGGTCTCTGCTGACCTGCTTGATGCTTCACTGGAACTTCAGTCCTTTCAGAAGCGTATATCAGCTTTTCTTCTTGGAGACTACAAGCAGAAAACCTATTGGCATCTGTCCCAGCCCCACAGCCGACAGCAGATGACGGGTTATGCGGGGCTGACACCCCACTGACTTGTTCAAAGGATTTACTGAAAACACTGGTGGAAGTCTTAGCCAAACCATGACTACAAGGTTTAGGCAGAGATTGGCTGGTTGTCAGTGTAAGTCTCTTCAAGGAGAGAAGCTCGAGATTCTCACTTTGGGCTCTCTGCGTTTGTTTCCGAACAAAGTGATCTTTGCAAGACTCCCCTGTAGTTTCTTTCTCTTTTCCTCCAGTTTTGTTTCCTCCTGACCGTCTCTGAGTCTTTCCTGTACTTGTCTTGTTACTACAATTTTGACTAATGTTTGATAAACCCGACTGGCTGGTACTAGAGGCAGCCCTGGAATAAAATCCCTCGTCAACTTCGGATATATCCATCAGCTCTTCTTGACCTGTTAATTCTGTATCTCCTAAACAAAGAAATAACAAGGATTAATTAACATTAAACATTTTAAGTAATTCTTTTTTTCATGATTAGTACCAAATCAAATATACTTTAATAAATTTTAGAACAATTTATCATAATATGTAAAGCAACAGATTACTGACCAAAATCAAAGGATAAATCAAAATGTTCTATAAAACGTCAACAATAGTTTATCATTAAAATTAGAATAATTTTGAGTATATTAAATAAAAAAGCATGCCATAAACCACACCCCACTGTGTTTTTAGAAAAGTTTTCTTACTATTCATGCAAAAGATCAGAGACAAGTAGAAAAAGACCACACAGTAAAACTAGGGGGTAAACTCTCCCCTAGTAGCAAAGCAGTGTAAAGTCAAACATCATACCAGGGAACTTAAAAAAAATGTTATTAAAGTATTTTAAAGTTTTTTTTTTAAGGTTGCACTTCACATTCTAGATTTTCTTACTAAAAGAAAAATATATAGACCATAAATATCATAACCACAACCTTGTTAAAATTCTCTATATATTATCTTCCATATCAAAGATGGCAAAAATACAAGGATAAAAAAGTAATTTTAGATCTCAAAACACAAGCAGTAAATTATTCTGTAAACCATTTTCTGCCTCATTTTCATAACAATTTACTCAGAGACAGTAGATATGACCATTCCAAAGAGCATTAAGTCATTGAGAAACTGTAGCACATAATTCATGCATTTTGATTAGATGACATGCAAAATTTTTGTGGCTGTGCAACTGTTGCTTAAAACATGCAGCAGTGACCCTTTGCCATGAGATACCTTGGAGTGCAGCTATAAAGTGCTCTGCTAAAACTGCACTCTGCCAGGTGAGTTTATTCCATCCTCCATCATTTTTCTTACAGATTTTTGCCTCCTGATCTCTGGCAAGCCTTTGCTCTCAGTTCTAGGATCTGTGGCTGTTTCCTGTACACCCTGTATATGCTGGGCATCAATCTCTCCTAGTGTTCTGCCTTTTTCCCCATTCCCGGTTCTCTCTCCGGCCACATTTGTGACACTAATCTCAGGAATGACAAGGATGCCCAATTCAGTAGTATCATTACTGTTGTCAGGTTGCTCTAGAATTGAAGATGATAAGACAAAATGATGGCTGAAAACAAAACAAAACAAAAATGCAAAACAAGAAAAGCAAACGATCCAAAACAAAAACTGGACGACTGAATGTTAGGTATTAAGCCAAATATACCCCCTGATGGAATTCCCATAATTTACAATACTTGACAGTACTGGAGAAACGGGGTCATGTTCTTTAATTTCAAATGACAATGAAAAAACTCAGAGCATCATTTTATGTTCTGTATTTTTTCATACACATATTTGACATGGACTGTGAAACATTAATTTTTTTATAACTTAAAATAGAATTTTTACTATTTTTAAGATAATATTGTGACCACTTGAACTTATGTCAAGCCTTAGGCAAGTTTTTAAGGATTTACAGTCAAAACTCTAGTTCTTTCCTGTCAACATGAGGAACCAAGCCATTTAGGAATTCTTCTTGCATAATTATTTTTAATTAGATTACACTAAGTCTGCCTTAATAAACCATGACATTGGAAAAATGGTTATTCATTTATATCACGGTTAGTACTATAGGTATGGTTTTTGTTTCACACACCAATCATCTTGTATATTAATAAATATTAATGCAGCTGTGATATAATTAAACAGTCTATTTCCTCAGACATATTAATTCCATAAATTTAGGCTAACTTGTAACAATTCACTACTAAACTGGAAATAAATATAAATGGATTTGGAAAATCAAAGTAGCTTGTTGGTCCGTTATTCTGAAAATGGTAATTTGTAATTGAAACAATGAAACTCCTAAATAGTTAAAACTTGTAGACATTGTTTTGTATCTCAAATCACAAAGCCATGGTTCATTTAAAGTTGTCAGGGAAATATCTGTAACAGATGGAAAAAAATAACATGAATATATCTACCATGGGCTGGTAATGAAAGTTAAAGTTCAAAACAACATAAGACTATGTAAAACAGTATGCACTCTTTAAAAATGTAGAACACAAATCTGAGTGAGTGATGTTACCCAATACTTTCAAATATCTTTCATGATAGAACATCAAGCTCTACTGAATGGAGCTACAGCATGTGAAACAATAACAGGTAGAAGAATGGAGGCCAGAGCCGCATATTCCTATGGGTCCCCACTTTGCTGAGCATCTTGAAGAACTACTGATGCCTGGCTCTCACCCTCAACATTCTGATTTAAACAATATGAGCTATGGCCTGGGCATTAGGATTTTATAAATTTCCCACATGACCAATGTGTGGCAAGTTCTGAAAGATGGATGCCCTGCATACTCCATTACCGAGCAGCAATATGCACCTCCAAAGGTCTTCAAAGCTTCATGTTGCCCTGGGCTGGTAGGTCAATATGTTGGCATATTAATTTTCCAATTACCTAGTGCTTCATAAACTTTTGACTGCATATACCCTAAATGAAATCCTTTCCTAGACTGGCCAAAGGATATTGGTGAGGTATTAATGTTTAATACACTGCTGCTTCAGCTTCCCTAACAGAATTCCTAAACAAGCCCATTCCCCATTGCTAATAGCTGTCTTCAAAGCGAGAGCAAGTAAAATCTAACCGAAGTAAATGCCAGAGGCCACTGCAACTGAGAGTAAAATCAGCATGAAACTTGGTCACTTGGGTGAAACCAAGACTTGTCCATTTTCATTGTAGAAGCAGTTTCACAAAAGATCTACTGACAGGATCATTAGTCCAAAATAATTATAAATTGCTCTGTTATCCAAATTTTAACAAAGCCAATGATTACTAAAATTTAACAAAACTTTAAAAGGTAAGCATAAGTGGCCTAACAGAATAGAAAACAATGCTACCACACTGATTGGCACTTAATAGTTTTCTTGAAAGCGTTCACATGTATTATTCAATTATATTGTCAAAACAATGTGTTGGTGCACCCCTGGAAGCAGGCAATTTGATTCCCATTTACAGACAAGGAAACTGAAGATCAGAAACAGTTACAACAACTACTGTTTGGGGGACCTAAACAGTAGAATCTTTTGTTGACATCAAAACGTCCATTCTAACATACCATAAATACTAACTCTTCAATTCATTAAAGTCAATTTGAATTAAATATTCTCTGACAGACATTTTTTAATTAAAAAAAATCTTATTTGCCTAGATTCCTGGTCATTTCATAGATGGCAAACAATTTACTTTGAATACACAGCAAAATCAAATAAATCTCTAAGAAAACCTCAATAAGTTAAAATCTTCAAGGTTAATTTATATTTCAAATTGGGTTTATTTTTTAAAAGATATCAATGAAAATGCTGCTACAACAGTGAAAATTTAGAATTTTCCAAGAAAAACTAGAAATGACATGAATATTATATAAAATAGCACTAGGCAGTTGGATTACTAATCACATTTACTGGGGAAATGGTAAAGATCTACAGCCCAAGAAACAGTAATATTAATTTTTAAAAATCATCTAATTAAATGGCAAGTGGTAAATGAGATATGTTCTTCCACAGGCAAAAATCTTTAATAAATTTATGTGTGCCTAGTCACACAGTCATGTCTAACTCTCTGCAGCCTCATGGACTGTAGCCTGCCAGCCTTCTCTGTCCATGGAATTTTCCAGACAGGAATACTGGAAAATTTCCTACTCCAGGAGATCTCCCTGACCCAGGGATCGAAACCCACGTCTCTTGCATCTCCTGCACTTTTGGCAGATTCTTTACCACTAGTGTCATCTGGGAAACCCCAATTTATGTATATTATCACTCAAAAATGGTAAAAACCACAAAATTTCTAAACTGTTTATTAAAGTAAATTCACAGAAAGAAAACCTAGAAATAAAAGAAGTATATTTCTCAGGAAAATTACAGGATAAAGAAAGATAATTACAAAAAAACCAAACATCTGTTACATGATCTTTCTCTTATTTCTCCAACTTCTTCCCTATATAATTCTGTGACCCACCCCTCCTACACACAACTACTTATTGGTTTTGTTATCTCCTAGGCCTGGAACGCTCTTCCCCACAGAGCTACATAGTTCACCTTCTTACTTCTTTCAGGTCTTTTTTCAAAACTTTCCTTCTCAATGAAATCTCCCCTGATCATCCCATCAAGTTTCAATATTACCCATGTTTCATATACTCTCTTTCCTACTTTGTTTCTTCTTTTTCTCAGCACTTCATCACTTTCCAACCTACAATTATTTATTTATCATATCTACCAGATGTAAGCTCCAAGAGGTCAGGGATTCTTGTTTGGTCACTGCTGTATACCTCATTCCTAGGAAAGTACCTTGCATTAAGTAAGTGCCCAATAAAATTTGTTTGATAAGTTGAACGAGTCTCCAGTTATGAGATGAAATTATTATTAGAATAAAGGTGTGGTGGTGGTGGTTTGGTCACTAAGTCATGTCCTACTCTTGCGACCTCATGGACTGTAGCCCGCCAAGCTCCTCTGTCCATGGGATCTCCAGGCAAGAAACCAACTGGAGTGGGTTGCCATTTCCTTCTCCAGGGGATCTTCCTAACCCAGGGATCGAATCCACATCCACATCTCCTACACTGCAGGCAGATTCTTTACCACTGAGCCACTAGGGAAGCCCTAAATAAAGCTGAAAGAACACAGAAAAGACATGAGAAACGTTAAGCTGAGAATGTGTTACTTGACTTGATAAAACAAAAAAATAACACATAGCTTAAAAGAATTTTTAGATGGCAAAGAAAAACATAGGCTCTTTGTTTTAGAAAAGTGCTGTATCTGCCTCTAAATGTAGGTTTAGTAAAATGATTGTTCACATCAGAAAGAGTTATTTTTAAGTCTATAGTTTTAAGTCTACCCAGAGGATAACAGATAGTTAAGAATTACTCTTTTTTGAAAAAGACAATAAAAGAGATGTTTTAAGGGAATACAAATGCATAAGAAAACAGAATCTGCTTAAAAGCCC